ATACACTGGGTGTTAAAAGTGTAGTTTGTACAATTACTAAAATGTTTGATCTTAAAAGGATAACGTTACACTTAGAGATAAAAAATGCACATAACAGTTCTTGCGAACTTGGCGGGCACACTATGGGATCAACTTTCCCAATCCACCTATCCTCGAAGTTGTGTTCTCGGGATACGGTTTCAATGCTTATTTTATTATTATTATTATTATTAATATTATTATATTTATTATTAACTCCAGAGCATTTTTCAAATTGTGTATTGGTCTTTCCTGGTTTGGAACACTTTGAAAATTTTTCTGATCCGCCAAGTTTCTGTGGATATTGGCAAAAACGCCCAGAATAATTTGTCGCCTTTGGTACTTCCGTGCCATAGGACGTACAAATCTGCAAGTTCTCTGTATGTCGGTTGTGCCATTTTAATTTAAACAAGCAATAATAAAGTAATAGAAAATAATAACAAATTAAAAATATTTCAATAAACAACACTTCTATCAGCATTGGTGATTCACCAAATATCAAATCTACGTACATTTTCCATGGCCTACCAATTAATATTGTATTTTGATTAGAGATACTACAAAACATAGGTAATTATTTCAAACTGATTTTATTTAAAAACAAAAACAACAAAGTATTTGTCGGAAATCGGGAAATTAAATGAAAATAATTTTGATAAAAAATGTTGCTTTATTAATTAATTTCCCAAACAAAAAAATTAACACATATATACTCATATAAATGAACACAAAAATAAGATCAAACTACAATAATTACTTATGTATTTCGTTACTTTAACCCATTTCACTGTATCCCCTAATTCCAGCTTGAAATTTCTGGCAATATATTATAAACACTCTGGACAGTTGTTAGGAACACGTTACGAATTAGTAATATAAAGTAAGCAGAAACATAATCTGCAGACGCTGAAGTCAGTTGAATTTGTTGATGCGTATTGTCAGTGTTTTGATGTTTGATGTTTTGATTGACTGCCTGAAATGACGTGGACTTTTTTAACAAAATAATTTGTTAAACATTAACAAAATAATCTGTAACCTTTGAAATTAACAAAATGCTTACAAAATTTCATATTACCTTTACAAAACTTTTGGTAAAATATATTCCTTTGTTAAAATAATTACAAACCCTGGTTTTCTACAAAAAATTATGTTAAAATTTTACAAAATAAAATTAACAAACTATAAACTCATGTTAAAAAATCTGATTTTTATAACAGTGTTATACGTATAGGCCATATTATATATATTTTTGTATCATTATGTATTGAAATTTTTATTATAATTAATGGGTCATTCCACGTTACTCGGGGATTTTTGTCCCGCCCGTCACAATTAAAAATTGTGAGTAAAAACTACACGTTATAAAATTTATTTAAAAATATTGTTTTATTATGCTTTTAATAAGTTATAAGCACAATAAAAATAATATTATAAAATATTAATTTTATAACTTGTGGTTTTTACTCACAATTTTTAATTGTGACGGGCGGGACAAAAATTACCGAGTAACGTGGAATGCCCCTAAATGCTGCCAGATTGGGCGCTTTAGCGCCAATTGGGCGGTTTTAAGAAATAATTTGCGCCTAGTTTTTTATAAAAAGCGCAAACCGCAATTTGGGCGATTTCTAAAGAAATAAATTGCTCTTTTGGAAATTCTTCGAATTAAGCTTTACTTAAAATATATCTTCAGATTGCAGCTGCCTGTATTTAATACTTATAGATATTAACAGCGATCACCACAAATAATAATCATAGATGGTATTAAAGTAGTGTAAACACATATACTTACTGGGTAAGTATATCAAGTGTATATCAAGTGTATATGTGTAAAAAAATGTAATTTTATAATAATTATTAGAGGTGAGTGCGAATTCAAGTAAAAGAAATTGAAATTGAAATTGAAATATGTGTTAACTCATATCAGAATTCTGATTGGACAGCTAACTTTTTTCCCTTTCCGTTACTGGGATGTAATTTTATAATAATTATTAGAGGTGAGTGCGAATTCAAGTAAAGGAAATTGAAATTGAAATTGAAATATGAGTTAACTCATATCAGAATTCTGATTGGACAGCTAACTTTTTTCACTTTCCGTTACTGGGATGTTGTGCAGCCGGCTTAACAGTAATAATATTAGTATACTGTTAATGCTGGTAGGCTATATTTATTATAATAAATATAGCCTACCAGCATTCACAATAATAATGAATAGGAACAGTTTCTATTCCTTATTATTTTGAATGCCAGTAGGCCATATTTAAATTTATTTATTTTTTTATTCATTTATTAAACATTTATTTTTGTATATTTCATAAATAATAATAAAATTGTTTACTATCAAGAAAAATGTCTTTATCTATAAAAATATTAAACTGTTGTGTTTAAGTATTTTTAATGCATTTTGCGAATTTACCGTTACAAGAATTTAATTTTACCAATCTAACGTTGGCGCTGATTGCAATTTTGTTGGCGCTTTTGGGCGATATCTCACTCGAAAATTGGCGCCTCGACTTTAAAATATCTGGCAACACTGCTCCTAATGTAAAATAAATTTTGTGTTTATCTTAGAAAATAGAATATTATACATGTATGAATTTTAATAAACGCCATTTTAGTTACAAATTTTAATTTAAAGTTTATAAACGAGTTGGATGCTACAGTTTTTTTTTATGACAAATACTTATTATTATCTAAAAAATTATTTAAATTAAATATTTGTATACATAGAGCCAAAGATAATACACCCCATAGATTGGAAACTCTCTCACCACTGCCCTCTAAAGCTAAAATACCTGAACTATATCTATTTGTAAATTGCAGACATCTGTACAAAGGCTATTTGCAAATGTCAATTTCAATCATAATTATTGATGTCGAACATAATTTTTGAATTATTAAATATATTTTTGCGCATTAAAAGTGATAAAACGTGTTAATTGTTGTGAAATGTATTGTTGTTGGGTGCGGAAATGTAACCAATTTGTAAGTATTGACTATCCTGCCGACCTAAGCCAAAAAGACTCATCTCCTTATTATTAAATTATTAACTTAGCAAAAAACGCATTTTAACTATACATACATTTTTAAGTACTATATCTCCTAAAAATTTCTAATTAAATTGAACGTATTTTATGAAAAAAAATAAAGAGCTATAATTTATAAAGTAAAAATGTGGAGTTGCCTCTTTTTGGCTAAGCACGGCAGTATCGCTCTAGCGTAAAAATACTGTTTGTTAATTATGAAATATTAAGGATTGCTTGTTTAATGGTAATTTAGTCCAGGCCAAGCCCAGGCTACTTATGGTTGTTTCAAAACCAAGAGTTGGCCAGATGGATTTTTCACAGTTGGTTTGGCAGAACTTGCTAAAAGTCCACACTCAAAAGCCTTGTACAAATTCCGATATGTATATTTATAAGTTTCTAAATTTTGCAATATTCTCTTATTATTGAAGAATTAAGACTAATATTTTTTAGGTTTGCACTCTCCAAACAAAAACATATTCATGTATACCGATTATGTATTTAATATGTACAAATAGATATATGTAATTTATTTTATATTATATTATTACTGCAATAAATAAATCTTATATTCATACTTGTTTTATTTAAAATATAGCAGTAAATACAATATATAAAGGCACCCTTCTAAGCATCAACATTCAAATATGGCGCCAATATGTTACAGAAATCTACTTCAATTTTTGGCATTGCTAAGGATATTGAAGACCTAGATGGCGTTAATTTACTTTAACCTCACATACTTCCACATACTTGTGTGGAAGTATGTGTTTAACCTTTTGCCGCTAGCGCTAGTGCAGTTTCCAATCTATGGGGTGTAATATCTTTGCATAGAGCAACATAAATAGAGTAACCATTCTTGGCAATCTGTATTACCGGCGCGCAGTTGAAAATGTCAAATTTGTATGTGTAAATCGAAGAGAAACTGTTTAATATTTTTGTATTCAGATAATAAAATAATTTTTACATTTAGTATTTTTTTACAAGAAGGGCAGTATATTTTAACGATTGTATGGAATTTGACAACTGTCAACTTAAAGCTAACTTTAGGCCGTGACTAAAATGACATAAAGCTACAACTTATCAATGTGCACATACATGTATTTAAAAGGTTACTTGTACTATAATTGACGTTTTAAAGGTGAGGGTAGAAAAAGTATATTAAGCATTGGTTTTATAAACTTCTATAGATACTTGTTTATTAAACACAAAATTTGCTCGTGCTTAATTAAAACTCGTGACTAAAATGCAGTTTATAAATTTTATTGCATAATATAGGTAGGTACTAAAAATCAATATGAAAAAAATATTTCTGTAAACCAATTTTTTTTAAGATTCTTGTTAAAATTAAAAAATTTTAAATTTAAATACTGTATAATACTATACAGTTAATAAACAACAAATTTAATAAAGACTAAAAATGACCTTTGGGATAATTTAAGCTTTATAGTAAATTAAAAAAAATACTTTGGCTCTGGCTATAGTTTTAATTAAATCATTTTTTATATAAAATATAAGTGTACACTTATTGATTTGCTTAATTTTCTTGTCTTTTGTCATAATTTTTAACACTTATTAGTTGATTTATTAAGTTATATAATATATTAAAAAAAAATTAGAAACAGTTTTATTCTTAAAACTTTTGTATTGAAAGAAAAGGAAATAAATTGTAGCCCAAATTGATTGGTTAAAAAATTTCTCAGAATTTTTTAATATTTTCTATTAAAGTCATTAACATCTATCTAGATTATGTAATTTAGAATTAAGTGCTAATACTTTAACACGTATTTTTTATTTTAAAAATATACTATGATAAAGTAAGCAAATACAGATAAAATCACATATTAAGAGCACTTATTGGAAAAATATATCACCAAGCGTAAATATAATTAGGTATTTATACCAAAAAATTAAAAAAAGATTACATTGTAGGTATCATTATCTTCTTAAGTAGTTTTCAAATAGATATATAAGACGAAAACATTGTAGATCAAATTACACTTTTCAAAATGTTCCGATTGTGTCTTTTTACAGTGCTTTTGGTGGCCGTAGCAGTTAACTGTCTACCAGCCAAGTCTGGGCCTAAATTGGGCAGGTAACTGTTTTTTTTATTTTTTGCCCCCGTTATTTTAAATTCAAGACTGTTGTTTTAGAATCCCACTTAAAAAGGGAAAACTCACCAAAAATGTGATTGATCAAATTGGACCACACAGAGAAGCTTTGAGAAAGCGTTACTCTAATAAAAATTTGGGAAGTGCCATTGAACCTTTAACCAACTATTTGGATGTAAGTTCTAGTTTAAAAGTTTATTATGTTCGTACAAAATTCCATAAAGTTTAATATATTTAATTAAAAATAGTTATCAGTTTTAAAAGAGAGTTTCCGAACATCCTGTATAGTATTTAATTAATTTTTTATATATTTTTAGGCCCAATACTACGGACCAATCTCCATCGGAACTCCCGCCCAAAACTTCACCGTAATTTTTGACACCGGTTCTTCCAACTTGTGGGTTCCTTCAGTGAAATGCGGATTTTTAAACATTGCCTGCAGTAAGAACCTTTTTTATTATCAATAATCTTTATATTTTATTCTACATATATAAAAAAATATAAAAAAAATAAGATAAATAGGATAGAACCCTTGAAACCTCCAAACCAGTTTCAGCTCGAAATTGTATTTGTCACTTTTTGTTCTAACCACTTCAAATATCCATTACAAATATAGATATCGTAGATAAAGTCATTTTTTACAGAAATCATGATAAAGATTTCACCATATTTATATGCTTTTCAGGATTTTGGCCTTAGGATCTTAGATTTTCTTAAAAAGTTATCTACATTCATCTACAGGAATTGAATTATTCTTAAAAATTTGAAAAAAATTAGGAAAAAGATTTTTTTAATATACATTATATTTATATGTTTCTATTAACAATAATTTGCTTCCATGTTTCATTAATTCATAAAAGACACGTTCTTTGAAAATTGAAAGGAATTGTTTTTATTTTGGCTAGAAGTTTTGAAATGGTTTTAAAAATATATTAGCTTTACTTTACTAAATTCTATTTTTTTTTTCAGAGACCCATAACAAATACAACTCTGCGGCCTCTTCTTCCTACAAAGCTGATGGAAGTTCTTTTGGAATCCAATATGGAACTGGAAGTTTGACTGGATTCCTTTCCGTCGACTCCGTCTCTGTAAGTTTCTAATAATTTAAACCTTTTTATTAATAATAACATTATAAATAGATTGCTGGATTGACCGTCAAGGAACAAACTTTCGGTGAAGCAATCAACCAACCAGGTGTTACCTTCGTTGCAGCCAAAATGGACGGAATCTTGGGAATGGCATACGACACCATCTCCGTTAACGGAGTTAAACCTGTTTTTGACAACTTGGTTGCTGAAGGAGCCGTAGACGAACCCGTATTCTCTTTCTACCTTAACAGGTTAGTACCTAAAAGTTATAGTCTATTCAAGGATCTAGACTAACCTGTTTGGTATTTTTTAGAGACCCCAACGCCGAAAACGGAGGAGAAATCTTGTTCGGAGGAGCTGACCCCAACCACTACACCGGAGACATCACCTGGGTGAACGTGGACAAAAAAGCTTACTGGCAAATTCCCGTAGAAGGCATGTCCATCGAAGGAGCCAAAACTAAACTTTGCGACGGTGGCTGCGAAATGATCGCCGATACTGGCACCAGTCTCATCGCTGGACCTTCCAAAGAAGTCAAAGCCATCAACAAGATGATTGGTGCTTTGGATATCGGAACAGCCGCTATAGTTAGTTGCAAAAACATCGACAGTCTTCCAGATATCCACTTCCAAATTGCCGGGAAAAAATTCACCCTTACCGGAAAAGACTACATCATGCAGGTAAGATGACCCTATTAATAATTGTCACGTTTTGTAAAAAAAAAGAGCAGAATTTTTATGTGTATACTTAATGACTACTTTATGGAACCATTGAAGGGCATTATGTTAAATAAACCTTTTTTGAATATTAAACTTTTTTCCCAAAAGGGTCGAGTACTATATCTTATTTTTGTAAGGAAATATCGCGCTCCGAAGATATTTTATTTTTATTTACCAAACTCATAAATAAGCTCTTTTATAACAATTGTGTAAGCTTTGTTTCAGTTACAGCAGCAGTTCCAAAACATTTTTTTTTGTTGTACTAGGTTTAAATTCAAAAATATAAATAAATCTAGATTTTAAAATATGATAATAATTAGAAGTAATATGGTTAAAGATGAATATTATAATGCAACCCCTTCTTTGCTCTTTTGACCAGTATACATAAAAAGTATTCTAGGTTTTAAATATAAATTGATTTTATTAAAAAAGTGAAATATACCTATCTTAGGAACTAAATTATTCTTTGTTTAGATTGAAAATATGGGAGAAACCATGTGTATATCTGGATTTATGGGTATGGATATCCCACCACCATCTGGTCCCCTTTGGATCCTTGGTGATGTTTTCATCGGAAAATATTACACCATCTTCGATGCCGGTAACGACCGTGTTGGGTTTGCTGAATCCAAATAATTTTTGAAAAAGTGTAAATAAATGTTAATAAATAATATGCAATTAACTGAAGTATTTTATCTTACAAAGCATACAATCATCAATAATTTAGTCCTCGTGTCCAGGCATACCATATATACATAGACTATAATAATTATTTATAATACGAATGTTTTAAATTTTTTCTATTCTACCGCCTTTAAAACGCCCATTATTGTAGAGTCAAGGGCTGAAGTTAGCTTTAAGTTAGTTGACAGTTGTCAATGTCATACAATCGTTAAAATAAAGTGCCCTTCTTGTAAAATAATACTAAAGGTGAAATTTATTTTATTATTTCAATACAAAAATACAAAAGCATTAAAGAGTTTTTTAACGCCAATATTTAAAAAGTTTATTTGAACATTGTACTGACCTTTTAACTTTGCCGGCAGTAAACTAAATATAACTTAAATTTGGGCTTAGACTCCACTGTAAAGTGCTCATAAAATATTTTCTTCACTTTCACTGTGAAAAACTGTTGTTTATCCATTTTCAAGAAATACATTTTGATTTATAACACATAAAAACTTGGCATTTGACGGTAACACAGATTCTCCTGTAAGTATTTGTCTTAAAAAAAGTATAGTATGCAACTCGTTTATAAACTTTCTAGACACTCATTAATTTAAGCACTTGCTCGCGTTTATCAAACTTGATACATAATATACTATTTGTTCACAAAAAAACTATTTTTTTTCAATTTGTTTTTATAAATTTTTTTATAATAAAACAGCGAGACCTCAAATGTATAATAACTATATATAATAAAAGATACACTTTTCAACCATTCCAAAGGCTTTAATTTTTTATTAAAAGTATATTATACGAAATTTTAGCACATATAAATTTTACTTAATATTAATACCTTATTAATAAGTTAACAAAATAAGTATGACTTGCAATAATGGCGAATGCGCCAGTGTTAATAGTACATATCTTATTTAAAAGTTAAAGTTTGCAGGTATCATCTAAATTATTTGTTTACAGGCTACACCCTGCTTAATTAAAATTATTAAATATTTTTTCTACATTCACCTTTAAAACGCCCTTTATAGTACACGTTTCCATGACACTTAAGTGACCTTTTAAGAACATATTGACAAGTTGTGGCTTTATGGCCTTTTAGTCACGGACTGAAGTTAGCAACAGGTTTTTTATCACGGGCTGAAGTTGTTTTTAAATTAAATTACAGATATCAACTGTCATACAATTGTTAAAATAAAGTGCCCTTCTTGTAAAATAATACTAAATGTAAAAATTAGTTTATCTCAAAACAAAAATTAAATAGTTTCTCAACGCCAATATTTGAACAGTTTATATAAACATTGTACTGACCTTTTAATTTCGCCGACAGTAAACTAGATTTAACTTAATTTCGGGTGGAGTCCAATAAAACATTTTCTTTACTTTCACTGTAAAAAACTGCTTCTAAATCGGATTATCGGTTCATTTTCAAGGGATACGAAATCATTTACAAATAAAAATTTGACATTTCCCAAGTTGGTTACTCTATTGTTTTATAGATGTTGCTCTTTACAAATATTTTATTTAAATCATTTTTAAATAATAATAAGTATTTGTCGTAGGAAAAGTAAAGTATGCAATTCGTTTATAAACTTTTATAGGCATTTATTTAATTAACCACTGGCTCGCAAGCTCGCTCGTGCCTAAAATGGCCTAGAACAATAATGAGATAGATGAGCGTAGACAATAAATCGATAAAAAATATATCTTTCATTATTGTATTACTACAATAATAACTATATATTTTCCTAGTACAATAATGAGGTAGACAATAAATCGATAAAAATGATCTTTTTCACCCTATTTCATTCTTATTAACGCAGTCTATGCCTTTGGAGAATGCATCTGTCATTGACAAACTGTCATTGACAAATTGTCATTCATAGACTGTCATTCATAATAAATTAAGGTTTTTTACTTTTTTTTAGAAGATAAAATAGTATATATACATTTATATAGTATATATTAGGGTGCTTAAAAAAAAATTTAATTGTTTTTTTTTTCGTTCTTACCCTCTCAAATGTTTCTATTTATTATATTATATTTTATTTTAGTTTCCCATTTAATTAACAAATAAAAAATAATTTTATGTTTAGAATTTTATACCCCTGTATCAAAGTAACTTATGGCAATGATCATTGCAGTTTCTTATATAAAATGTTTCTCTCTACAAAAAAGGTATCTTATTATTTTTTGATAAATTGATTTCTTATAGAGTTATTCGAGGTCAAAGTTTGATTAACATCAAATTTTCTGGGTTTTTTCATTTTATGGTACAATTAGCAGACGGGAGGTGAAAGAGGGCAAAACAAGGCAGCGGGGGGGCAAAATGTCAATTTATTTTGACACTAATACTGTTTTACATTAAAGAATACATTTTTTTTACCTGAGTAAGAAACTAGTCTATAAAGAATAAATATTACAGAACTGTTATTATAGAAATATTTATGACAGACAAAATACTTCTTGAGTATGAGTATTTTTATAAGCATTATTCAAATTTATTTTATTAATATTATATTATGTAGGTACCCAGTTTAATCTGACGAATTTAAGTCACAGATTGGTATTGTGGGAGTACATAAAAGTATTTAAAATAAATGTGTATTATAACACATAAGTTTTTATAAAATACTTCATATTAATACTAGTTCAAAAGGCATGTTAATTGCCTCGCACACAATCTACTACTTTGGCTATCACCTCGGTAGTGAAATGTATGCTCAGCAATTCTATAATGTACTATATCATTTAAAATACGAAAAACAGCGTGATAAAAGTGAGTTTTCTATTTCGTGAAAATTAGATCCACTGGCTACGCTCCACTAAATAAAAAACATCACTTTTCTTTACTTCTTCCAAGAAGCAAATGGTGTAAGTCTTGTAAAAAGAGCAAACCTTACAAACGTTGTTCAAAATGCATGTTTGGAAGGTACTACAATAGGTTCAAATATAGGTATAATAATTGTTTTGATAATTATATATATATAATATATATTATATATATATATATATATGTATATATATTATATATATTATATATATATTATATATATATATATATATATATATATATTATATATATATATATATAGATATGCAATCCTACATTACCAAGCCCGAAACGTTACATTCTACAGTATAAACGAAGCCCACTCGGTTTTTAGGAAGCCCGAAATCGGGCTTCCTAAAATTAGCGTGTATAAATTTGTTTTAGAGTTAAGTGATGCCCCCTTGTTTCAATGGCGAAAAAGTGGTGGGCTTCCTAATGCCATTCAAACCTATCAAAATATACAACCTTAGTTCCAATGCTTTGGCGGTAGGGGGCACACGAGTCAAACGAGATTATATACAGCTTTGTATAAGTATTACGCAGTATACGAAGCCCGTACATCTGGCAACAATGGGGACTATACGCTCGATGACTTTTTGATAGGAAGGCGGGGAAAATAATGCGGGATTCTTAAATTTGAACCTACTGATTTTCAAAATAAATGTTATAGTCCCAAAATTATGTTTTGTTCTCTACATGGCGTGGATTAAAAGGCAATGTTTTGTTAAATACTTTCGTAATACACTTAATTTTAAAGAATTATTTATTTTTGAAATATTATTTGGAGTGCATTTTTCTTTGGGGCGGTTTTACAAGTTGTCCAGATATTTTATATAGTTTTAATTAGTTTTCACTAAAATGTATAAATTTATTTTGTTAATATTTTTGAATAATAAAGGTTTTTTCACCTTTTATACGTAGGTCTCCAAGCAAAACCGGCTATATACAAAACATTTTTTGAAATTTTGGCCCGACAAAATTATTGCATAATAAATAAAAAAATTAACTCTAAAACGCCTTTACTAATCTTTATGAAATTTTGGATAAAAATACTTCAACTCAATTTATGTGTAGGGTTTTTCGAGAAAATATGTTTAAAGCCTTTTTATTTAATAATGAAAATAAGTTCGAAAAATAACTTTTAGGGAATTTTTTTTTAAAGAAATAAAAAATATGCTGCTAAAGATCGTATTTTTTTTAGTATACGCTGAAAATTTTGTACAAATCAAGCGAACAGTAAGGAAGATACAGCGCTTCAAAGTCGTGAAAAATGACCACTTTTCAGCAAAATAATCAAAAAGGCGTCATTTTTACCGACTTTGTTAATGTTCGTTTGATTTGTACAAAATTTTCAGGGTGTACTATGTAGTGTAGTTATATTTCGAACTTTTTTTCATTATTAAATAAAAAGGCTTTAAACATATTTTCTCGAAAAACCCTCTAACACGTAAATTAAGATCTAAGTTGAAGTATTTTTATCAAAAATTTCATAAAGATTGGTAAAGGCGTTTTAGAGTTAATTTTTTTATATTTATTATGCGATAATTTTGTTGGGCAGTGTATTAAAGTATACGTCATTATTTAGATTTTTTAGAATTTTTGGTGTAGTTAAATCTAATAATTAAAAAAAAAACTAGATGTCTTTATAATTCATGAAAAAAATATTCAGTCAGTTTCACTTGTTTTGATTCCCATTTAAGTTTTACACAAAATTACCTAACCTCAACAATAATTCTTATAATAATTATAATTATCGATATATTTGTATATTTTTTATTAACATATGGAAATATATTTTTTAAAGGCTTAACTTTTAAACAAAAACGAATCGCATCCATGTCATTTAAGAAAAAATGTTTATAATTAACCCAGCTATCATCTGACAAAGTTTGCCATAGAGAGCTCTTGTAGAGCACCCTGTATAAGATATTTACCTTTTTAAAATAATGATGTATAAACAAAATAAATGAAATGTTTATATAGGTACCTAAATTCAACAATACTTTTAAATTATTATAATATAAATAATTATAATTTAACGATAATTATTATTATAATAATTATAATTTAACAATATTATTAAATATTTAAGTATACCTAAGTCATTATTTAAAAATATAAGTTAAGTTTAGGTATAGTCTAGGTATTTTAAATAGAGCTCACACACAAAC